GCCTTTAGCTGCTCCACCCACAGGCAAGGTGGAGCCCCTGCATCCCTCTTGACCTCGTCATCGAAGTCGTTCGTTGGGGTAGCTTCTCCCTCGTGGATGCTTTCGACATGTCCCTCGGGGGTACCTGCCATAAAACATTCACAAGAGGGGTGATGGCTCCCCCTGCTGGAGTCAGAGCTAGAGGGCAACTCTGATTCTCCTGCGAGGAGGTCGTGGAAAGATTCCACGACATATTCGGTCATCCCCATGAACTCCTCATTCATAGGGGATGGAGGAGTGCGTCGCGCCACAAAGTGGCCAACGGTCTCTGAGGCGTTGTACGGATCAGACGGGAGCATTGTCGGGGTGCTCTGAACGAGGTATCCTGGGGAGAGCAGCTCTCCTCCGGTAAGCTACGTCATGACATTGGCGAACGAGAAGGTGAGGTGGTGCAGGTCCTCCCGGGACAGTCGGGGTCCTAGGAAGGCACCGAGCTGGCGCTCTAGCCTCCCGTAATCAAAGTTGAGGAGCTGGTTGCTCCTAGGGGCGTGGGCCTCCGGTGCGTGCAGTTGCAGCTCCTCAAGCACCTCATCGATCGCATCAAGGCCGACGGAGTGCAGAGGTTGGATGGCAACAGGAGCCTGTGCCAACTCTCCCTCTGTCGTGACGATGAAGTCCGGGTTCCCGAAGCGCATGTGCGTGCCCGGGACCTAGCTGACGAAGTGACTAGCCATCCGAGACCTGGTGTGGACGTCGAGACACGCAAAAGGCCCCTACCTAGCGTGCCAACTGTTGGTGTTTCGAGTTACCACCGATGAGTAAATTTCAAATATTGCGCGTCTGGCTCGGATGGTGTGCTTAGAGGACACGAGGTTTATATTGGTTCGGGCAGAAAGTCCCTATGTCCAGTCCATCGTTGTTGCTCGTGTTACTAGCACTGAAAGTTTGTAGTATGGGTTACAAATGGGCAAGAGGGGGAAAGAATCCCAAGTCTCTGGTGAAAAGAATGAATGGGTGCTGGGAGCTCGATCGCTGCCCAGCCGTGTGTTCGTGTCGTGCTCTTATGAGGATCGGGATGGGTTGGTCGAGTCGATCCGGCTTGAATTCGATCCCCTTCATGGGACACCCTGCTTTTCCTTTTATAGGCCAAGGGAAAGCACGGGTTATAGCGGAGGAAAAGAGAAGAATGAGAGAGAGAGAGAGAAGAAGGCCTTCAGGATCGCTGGGTCCTTCTTCTCCACATCGTGGCCCTATCCGTCATTGGTGCCATGCGCAGGCGTCGTCTGTCGATCATGGTGTTCCATCTCGTCTCGGCGGACGTCGTGGTGAACTGACGCGCATGTCATCGTTCATACGAGGGTTAGGCAGAACAACACCGGCACACCCGACGCTGTTCTTGATGTGAACCCTCATGTATGGCCCATTATGGCCACGGGTTACATCAAGACATGCTAGTCTCTTTCCTGGTGTCAGAGCATTGACCCAGGCCCATACGCTTGGACCTGGAGTGGTTGGCGGCGGTATAGGTCCTCGCCGGGTGAGGCGGAGCCTGCACCCAAGGGGTCATGCGAGGCGGAGCCCGTAGCCTTGGGGTCGGGCGAGACGGAGCTCGCGGCCTTGAGGTCGAGCGAGATAGAGCCTGCAACCTTGGGGTCGGGCGAGGCGGAGCCCGTGGCCTTGAGGTTAGGCAAGGTGGAGCCCACGGCCTTGAGGTCGGGAGAGACGAAGCCCTTGGCCTTGGGTCAGGCGAGGCGGAGTCCACACCCAGAGGTCAGGTGAGGCGGAGCCCACGCACCTAGGGGTCGGTTAGAGCTATAATCGTGCTCTTGACTGCTCGGATGAATCAATGTTGATGACCATTAGCTCCTCCTCTTCGGATACCCTAGTATTGGTCCTCGACAGTGACGATCACAAAGACGAGCTGACCCTCGACAGAACCCCTACTATGAGCGGGGGCTCCAGGGAAGTTGGACTTGCAAGGAGACCAAACGCACGGTCGTAGTATGACGGCGGACCGATCGGATCTTAGGGGACCGGAATCAAGAAGAATCTTTCCGACCTCCCGAATCCAATGGTCACATGCCCCCTAGAAGACCGATTGCGACAAAATGGAATCGCCGTCCTACCAGGACACGCCGCGGGCTACAAAAGGAAGGCCAAGGCCCTCATAATCCTCCCGTTCGAAAAAGCCTCCAAAGAAGTATTCTACTCCTCCACAGGCTCAGGGCTACTGTCGGGTATCGATATTAGGAATACTCAAAGCAAGGAAGTTAGCGCCCACGCTGACTTTCCTGGATGACTCGAGATGTATTAAAATGTCTCGCCTGACCCCAAGTTCGTGGGCTCCGTCTCGCCCAACCTCAAGGCCGTAGTCTCTGTCTCGCCCGACCTCAAGGACACGGTCTCCGTCTCGCCCGACCTCAAGGGTGCGGGCTCCGTCTCGCCTGACCCCTTGTGTGCGGGCTCCATCTCGTCCGACCCCAAGGACGTGGGCTCCATCTCGTCCGATCTCAAGGTCACGGGCTCTGTCTCGTGCCGACCCCTTGGGTGCGGGCTCCGTCTCACCCGAGGTCGCGCGCTCCGTCTCGTTCGACCTCGAGGACGCGGGTTCCGTCTCGTCCGACGGGAACCCATACCACCGCCAACCACTCCAGGTCTAAGCGTATGGGCCTGGATCAAAACTCTGACGCCAAGGAAGAGGCTGGTACGCCTTGATGTAACCCGTGGCCATGACAGGCCATACCTGGGAATTCACATCAAGAACAGTGTCGGACGTGCCGATGTTGTTCTGCCTAATCCTCGTACGGACGCTGACAGGCGCGTCTGGTTACCACGACGTCCGCCGGGACGGGGTGGAACGCCATGATCGGCAGATGACGCCTGCGCATGGCGCCAGTGACGAACAGGAACGCGATACGGAGCCGTCCCTATTATTATCTACAGGATCAGCAGGACCCGCATGAAGGAAAAGAAGGACCCGACAATTCTAGAAGCCTTCATCTCTCTCGTTCTTCTTTTCCTCCTCTGTAACCCGCGCTTCTCCTTGGCCTATAAAAGAGAAAGCAGGGCGCCCCACGCGGGAAGGGGGATCCAAACACAAAAGAGAACGACACGAGCACACGGCTGAGCGGCAATCGAGCTCTCAGCACCCGTTCACTCCTTCCACCAGAGACTTGAGATCCTTTCCCTCTCTCGCCTATTTGTAACCCCTACTGCAAACCAAGTGCCGGTAACACGAGCAGCAGTAGCGAACTGGACATAGGGATATTCTGTCCGAACCAGTATAAATCCTTGTGTCCTCCGAGCACACCATCCAAGTCAGATGCACAAATACAAATTTACTCGTCGGTGGTCCGAAAATACCGACAGTTGTTCTTGTGATTAGGCTAATTAAGATCCTATATAAGTGATAATATCTAACAATAAGATAATAATTCTCCAGTAATAAATGTCATGATGATGATTATTTATATATTTTTATCTTATACAACTCGTCTTCATGCGAGCAACAAAACAGGTTCTTGGGAGAACCTGGCTCATGCAAGCAGGCAACCAAACACCACGCTCTTGCATACATTGGGCCTGGCTACCGAGAGCCAGACTCCTCCCATGCGAGCCAGGATGAGTTCATCCACGAACCAAAGAGACCCTAACTCAAATAATTGGACCATGAATTCCTGCTAAAAATAAGAATTTACATGACTTTCACCATAGTTATAGGGCTATCTAATCAACTCTAGAAGTTTTGGTGACTATGCGTATACAAGAATATACCATGTAAAAATGAGCAAAAATGGACACTCTGCACTTACCACTGGAATTTCGCTAGGACGAACTTCACAACAATGCGACACAATATTGCTCCACCGGAAGCCTAGTTGATTCTTCTAAACAACTTGAAAAGATATATGTTAATTCTTCTTTGTGCAAAATCTTCAAGCCAACTCTTGCCAAAATTGAGCTTTCTTACCACCTCGATCAATTCAAACTATTAACAGCTTGTTTGGTTTGGCAGATCGTCCGGTCCAGAATGATACGATCCTAAGACTGAACCTGTGATGTTTGTTTGGTTTGCCTCGTCTGTGCCGCTAAGCTCCAGCAGCGCCCTGCAATCTTCGTTTTTTCTTCTGAAGCGAACAACCATGCGTCCGTGCCCTTACATGTCAAACTAAACGCAGACTAACACAGCAATCACAGGGTTGCTTTGAAGTCCACCGGTTGGCGCCCTTCGTCTCATAGCTTTGCTGTCCTCTGATTAACACAACACTTTTTAAAACCCATTTCCATGGCATCCTCATCATGTTACAAAGGTACAAACCAGCCAACCCATATGCCAAGTTACTAAACTAAACTAATCCACCATCGAGCGAGAACAAACGTCAACATGCATCAACCAATGCAGCAATCGTGATCACTAGCACTGTCCAGCTTTATATCTGAAACAAATCAAGATCACCCATCAAATAATAATCACCGTCACATGCATCCATGGTTACGGGAAGCTTAACGCTCTAATAATTTAGTGAACGTTTTCTCGTTCAAAAAAAATAAAACTCTGTGAACGATGCACCAGTGCTTGCTCCTATAAATGGCACACCGAGCAGCATCCGTGAACCATCGCAGGCGCTTAGCAGTCCATCGAGTGAGGGGGTGTTTAGTTGATCATCGGATGTTTGACACATGTATAGAGTATTAAATATAGACTAATTACGAAACTAAATGCACAGATTGAAACTGTTTTGCGAGACGAATTTTTTAAACCAAATTAGTCCATGATTTGACAATGCGGTGCTTCGGTAAACCTATGTTAATGACAGATTAGTTAGGTTTAATAAATTCATCTTACGGATTACTGAAGCTGTAATTTATGTTTTTATTAGTATCCGAACACCACATGCGACACGCCATATAACATCTTATAAACTTTAGTCCCTGGATCAAACACCCCCTTATTAAGGCCACCCAGCCTAATCACTCCGCTTCGTGCTTGTGATCGAGCAGCTGTTGCTGTGTGTGTAACAATGGCAGGCAAGGCCTCCGTCGTTGCGCTGTTCCTGGCCGTGAACCTGGCGGTGTTCGCTATGGCCAGCGCCAGCGGTGGCGACTGCCCCACGCCGCCGACGCCGTCGACGCCGACCCCGACGCCGGCCTCGTCCGGCAAGTGCCCCCGCGACGCGCTCAAGCTGGGCGTGTGCGCCAATGTTCTGGGCCTGATCAAGGCCAAGGTGGGCGTGTCGCCCACGGAGCCATGCTGCCCGCTGCTGGAGGGGCTCGTCGACCTCGAGGCCGCACTCTGCCTCTGCACCGCCATCAAGGGCAACATCCTCGGCATCAAGCTCAACCTGACCGTCGACCTCAGCCTCATCCTCAACCACTGCGGCAAGAGCGTGCCCACCGGATTCAAGTGCCTCTAAGGCCCCGTTCGGTTAGCACTGTTCCAAGCCGTTCCGGGCCGAAACGGTTCCGATGCTTCGTAAATTATCGAAGGAAGCCAGAGACTGGAATGGTTCCCCACCCAACCGAACAAGGCCTAAGCATGCATTCGTCAGCCGCGCGCTCGTCGTCGCTGCAGAGTGTAGCTGGATCGTTTGAGTTCAGGTTTATTTGGTTTGCATTATTCGTACTACTAGCTGGTCTGTATGCATGTGTTTGTGCATGCGATGGCCACGCACGTAGCTCCTGTTGTTTGATCGGCTTTGGCTTCCGTTGCTTGTATTGATTTCCGTTTTCCGATCTGTCTGTGTCTGGTTTAGGACCCGTTCGTTTGCCAGAGAACGGTTCCCAGGATTAATTTTTAGTCGGAATGATATTCTATTTTATTTTTATATAGTCTTTGATCATCTGGATCGATTCCTGGTGAAATCTAGCATAATCGAACGAGGCCTTAATCGTGTTGCAGTCGATCGGTGTGTATGAATAAATAAAGACTTTTATCTGCTCATCAGTACGTACATAGTACATGTTCTAAATTCGATTCAGCTTGTACCGTATTCTTAATGCAGTGCGTACGTGAGACGTGCCTGTGCAAACTATGCTAATTTGCGCGTAAGCGTACGTAATGGATGCATTCGTTCTCTGGTATTACAAGTAGCACACAGCAAGACCGAGAATAGGATGGACCCGTCCCACCCTCCTGACCCTTCCCTTCCTCCCCACGACGACGGGGGCGCCGCCCACCCCCCACCGTCGGGCCTCCACCCAGGAGCATACCCACCCCTTCCTAGCACGGATCTGATCCCCTCAACCTGATCTATCCATCCATGGGGTCGGTGGAGGGGTTCCGGCGCTCCTTAGCGAGCCCACCTCTCCGGAGTGTGACCCTGGAACCGGCGCCTCCCCTTAGCCCAGCTCGTCGGAGGCCACTCAGGCGTTGGCGGCTAGCGCCAGCCCCTTCCCTAACCCCAATCCTAGCCTGCCTGTTTCCACGGGCGAGGAAGCCGCGCCCATGACTAGGACGTAGTTGTTGGAGGATGAGGTCATCGTCGAGGACGTCTTGGAAGGCGAGGACGAAGATGAAGACGATGCGGCTCCTGCCCCCGCGACCGCCGCCAACCTCCTCCACGGCGTGCACGTGGCGTGGGCGCTGCCGCCGTCGACCGCTTCGCCATCGTCACTGCGGCCCTTCTTCTCCAAGGCCGTCAAAATCCCTCTCCCCCCACACTGCCCCCTTCCATCCTGGAGGCAGCTCGGTGGGGCGCTCCAAGGCTAGTCACTGGGCAGACGCTGACCTCGGCGCGGGCAGCTCCGACAACGAGCCCACTCATGTTGCCACGCGCCCGTCGTACCTGGACGCCGCTCGCAAGGCTCTTCGGGCCACGCCTCCCACACCAGCGGGGGCTCTGAACGCGGCGCAGCGTGTAGCCACCGTCAAGGGAACTCACCTGGTGCCTGCAAGGGGGAAGCGGCGGCATCAGCGTAGGACCAGTGGGCCTGATAGCATTGGGACACTGCCACCGCAGGTCACGCGTGTGCCCGCGCTGCGTCGCCTTGGCCCATAGCAGGCGGCAAGGGTCCCGGTGCATCAGCGCCTCGGCCCACGCCATAGGGCGTCGGTGCCTGGCGCGTCTCGGCGGCCCCGTCGAGGGCCCGACGTCGACGCCGATGGTTTCCAGACTATCGAGAGTCATCGCCACCGGCGCTGTCCGGGGAAGGCGGCACCCAAACGCCACCGCCCCGTCCCGCCGGAGCTTGTGGGTCTCTGCTTCAACTGCCTCGCGCACGACCACATCGCCGCTCAATGTCGCTCTCTGTCCCGCTGCTTCCGCTGCCGGGGTACCAGCCATTGGGCTAGGGCGTGCACGCGCGGCCGTTCACCGGCGTGCAAGCAAGTGCAGTCATCGGCGTGCAAGCCTTCGTCCTCGTTGGCACGTTGCCCCAGCCAGATTGCCTCTAAGGGACGTCGCACCACTGGTCCGAGGCGTCCCAGCTCGTTGTCAGAATGTTGCGCCGCGTAAGGCCAGATGCCGACAAAGTGTTCGCCTTGTGTGCAGCGGCCGACCGTGTCGTCATCGTCGCCACAGCAGCAGCACAACAGCATCCTGCTGGTATCCCCACCTCTGGGTGACGTTAATAACCGTCCCAAGGTCGAGGTCTTCGTCGTCCAGAGGAACGTGGACCTTGCCACTTCTGGTGCAGACCTCCCCCCGTTCTTGTCGCACTTGTTGGCGGAAACTAGCCAGCCGCCACGCCAGAGGAGTTACTGGCGCACCTTTACTCGAAGTTCCATATGTCTGTGGGAGTGGCCAGGGCTTGTGCTTGGCTCAGAGGCCCCGTTGCACATGAGTGTCGGCAGGACGACCACTCTTGCGTTGATATGCAGGGAGGCGAAATGCAGATACAAACAGTGCACCGGGAGCCTGAGCTCGCAGTGGACCATTGCTTGGGGGTTCAGCGTTGGGACTTCGATCCCATGCTGGTTGAGGTGGAGGCAGGTCTCACAAGCCAGGCCATGTCGGAGGTGGCCCTGGCGGTGGACCTGTGCATTTCAGGCCCGGACGAGTGCGGCTTGGGCCAAACCTCACCAAGTCCATCACTCCTGGAGTCGGAGCAGGCTGGGGGATCCCTACCCCTGGTCCAGGCTGTAAGGTCGAGATGGCGAACTAGAGGGGGGGTGAATAGTCCTTTCTAAATTTAATTGCGTCGGCTAACCGAAACAAGTGCGGAATTAAAACTATCGGTCTAGCCAAGACTACACCCCTTTATTTATGTTCTCTAGCACCTTCCAAAGATACTAATTAAGCAACAAATGTGCCGGGCTAGCTAGAGCTCACCTAACCAATTCTAGAAGCAAGGTCACACAAACCTATGCCACTAGTACTTCAAGCAACAAGGGAGCTCCTACACAAGTTAGTAAGCAAAAGCACAAAGCCACCTAAGTTCACTAGTAATGCTCAATAACAAGGCAACTGATGCCAAATTAGAGAGCGCAAATACTTAGCTACACAAACTAAGCAAAGTGATTAACAAGGTTACACAAACCAAATTAGCCACGCAATGGAGCTACTTCTATGCTACACAAGTAAGAAGGTAACTAGTGAGCTACACAAGCTAACTAATCACAAGAGCAACTACACAAGCACAATGTATATAAAAGTAATCACAAGCTTATGTAAGGGGATTGCAAACCAATGGGAAGAACAAGGTTGACACGGTGATTTTCTTCCGAGGTTCACGTGCTTGCCAACACGCTAGTCCCCGTTGTGTCGACCACTCACTTGGTGGTTCGGAGGCTAATTGGCATCACCCGCTAAGCCCGTACGTTGGGCACCGCAAGAACCTACCCCAAAAGTGAGGGTAGCTCAATAACACGCTTTACTAGAGTTGCTCTTCATGGCTCCCGCGGGGCGAGCACAATGCCCCTCACAAAGCTCTTCTCCGGAGCACCGCACAAGCTTCTTGCGGGCTTCGACAGAGACCACCACCAAGCCGTCTAGGAGGTGGCAACCTCCAAGAGTAACAAGCACCACCGGCTTGCGACTCGATCACCTAGTGCCACTTGATGTAACATCATGATGCAATCGCACTAGAATCGCTCTCTCACACAATCGGATGATCACTATCAAGCATATATGAGATGGAGGGCTCCCAAGCACTCTAAGCATGGACACAAAGTCCCCCAAGGTGCTCAGCTCCAGCCATGGCCGAGACTACCTTCTATTTATAGCCTCACGGGCTAAACTAGCCGTTACCCCTTCACTGGGCAAAACTCGGGACGACCGGACGCTCCGGTCAGATCGACCGGACGCTGGACCCCAGCGTCCGGTCGTGCGATGCACGCCACGTGTCCCCTGCTTCAAACATCGATCGCCCAATCTCAACGGCCAAGTTGCGACCGGATGCAGCTACTCAAAGTGACCAGACGCAGCAACCCCAGCGTCCGGTCGTTTCCAGTAAGGTACCAGTCGCGACCGAACGCGTCCGGTCGGTCACGATCGGACACAACATCAGCGTTCGATCCTTCTTCAACCTTTCTGCGTCGTCTACATCACTGTACGTCAGCCTGACCGGACGCACCCTGCCAGCGTCCGGTCGAAGACCGACGCCTGCACGATCTCTGCCGCCACTGACCGGACGCAGGACCCCAGCGTCCGGTCACCACGTGACCAGCGTTCGGTCCACTCTGTGAGACCCTGTCTTTTCTGTATAGGGCGCCGGTGACACCATCGGACTGTCCGCACTCTACGGGCGGACACTCCGCCGGTGGAGTATCTAACCCTTCTCGCCTCCGTTTCATCGCCGAGTTGATTCACATCAACTCCAACTTCATCTCCTTTATAAATGTGCCAACACCACCATGTGTATGTGTGTTAGTATTTTCAAAATCATTTTCCAAAGGATTAGCCACTCAACTTGCCACGCCACTCAATTCTAGCGACGATGCAAAGTTAGATCACTCGAGTTGCACTAGATGACCGATATGCAAACAAGTTTGCCCCTCTTGATAGTACGGCCATCTATCCTAAATCTGGTCATCAATTTCTCTACACACCTATGACCGGTGAAATGAAATGTCTGAGTTATACCTTTGCCTTACGCATTCTATTCCATCTCCTCCAATGTCGATGCAACACATGCACCAACATGATCAACAATGATATGATCCACTTCATATCATCACGTGATCATATTGGTTCATCGATCTTGACTTCACTTGTTTTTTACCGTTGCCTTCGTCCATCGGCGCCAAGTCTTGCTCAAGCTTCACCGCCACGCGGTCCATCGCTCCTAAGCCTCCGACTTGCCCTTCACGCTTGCAACCGGTCCATCAAGCCAAATCTTGTCTTGATCTTCTCCACCTTGATCACATGACTCAATGTCATGTCTCATTTGCAATGAGCTCCTTCATCATCACATGTGTGAGCTTTCCAACATCTCCAAGCCATTTTTGCCTTTATGGCATATGTT